GATGGGGTGTAGTCGTTTCTTGGCCCACTATCTCCAACTGATGCGAAGCATCATTATCTAGAATGTTAATCTCATCAGGCAAGACTCCATGTAGGAAATTAGTGTTACGTATCTTGCGTAATTGGCCACCAATTGTGATGGCCCCAACTTCACCTACGATCGGAGAGTCCGCCCAAGCTGTATGCTGCTTAACGGTTATCTGACTGCCATAAACGGACCGACCCTTCACCATCCGCTGCTTGGCAAAGCAATATGAAGGATCGCCACAGGAAACACTGTCAACACCTATACCTGATGAACCCGAGTTGGATTGAGCGCCTAGACCTTTTTATGCAACGATGGGAGGAACGTTTAAAACAAGTGCACAAGTAATTCTAGTGGGTGGTGGGAGAGTCTCCACCAAAGGGACTTCGTGATAATGAAGGTCACCTTTAAACTTCCTGTGCAACACTTTCTCGAGGGAAAAAACCCTCTCATCACCTGCAAACAAATAACCATCATTAAACGACTGACCTACTCTCCAAGGGAAGCTTCCCAAAATGAAAGGGTGAGGGGGGGGGGGAGGAAATGGTACTTATTGATAAACTTGTGCCGCCAGATGGGGTGCCGACATGATGCGGTCTTGCCAATCTTCCCTGTTGAAGGAGATCCTCTTCAATGCTTGAGCCAATGACAAACTGGCGCCCGACAGGTAGGGTGCCCTATCTGAGGAGATGGTCACATTAGGATAGCTAGGACCTATCAAGGCGTTGTTAATCCACAACCATCGATCATGCCTATTCTTTTAAGGAGCCCTCTGGTTAACAATAAACATATGAGCATTGCGCCGTTGAGAAAAAGTATGTACACCAGACTGGGTGGACAAGTTAAAGAAAAACTGGAGGGCTCGGAGTTTGGGAAGCACACCTAAGGCTCGACAAGCCAACTCGAACCCAACAATCTTATTAACAACATTAGGAGTGAGGTCGTCCACAGAGATACCATACTCGCGCATAACCTCATCAAAGAAATTCGATATTGACAGCCGAAGCCTCACTTCGAAGATCGACACAGGGACTCCAATCTTCCATGCCAGCGGCTGATAGAAGATAACCCTTTTCTATGGAAACCGCACTCCGTGTTCGGGCATAAACCTAAACCAGAACTGAAGGGACTCAAACTCTTTTGGTGTCTAGTCGTTCCAAAATCGCATGGATGTCATTGTAGATCTGGAACAGAAAATGGATGGAAAAGAATAAGCATAGAAGAAAACTGAGTAGTTGAAGCATAGGAGATACGAAGAATGAAACCGCCCATAGTAAAAGGGAATTTTAAATACAAAGTGGGAGAACTGAATGGTTACTTCAGTGAAAACCTTCTATGCAGAACGGATCTGTCGCACCAACGGACACCAGAGCCATCCCCACCAAATGGGTGTCCTGATCAAGGCTAGAATAACTCAGCTACATCATCCCAACGTAGAAGTCTACTAGCCTAGGGGACTTGTTAACGTATCCATCTAGGAATACGTCAAAGATAATAGAGAAGTTATCTAAAGTACAACCTAACTAATAGTTGTTGCCTAATAAAAGTGCTAGGCCCAGGCCCTCACCCTTGCGGTCTTACACTTAGACCCTGGCGCTCTAGCACCATGATCCAACTTAGAATGAGACGTTTCGGTCTATAATAAGCCAAAGCAATACGAATTGCTCCCATGAGCGATAGGTGTAGCGTTCAAAATTTTGCCCTTCAGTGGTTTTGCACCACTAGCATATAAACGCTAGTTGTACACGGTCCGCAAATAGGACGTCTCCATGTCTTGCCGATCCAAAGAAGACAAAATGTATTGTCGGGGACATGCCCCCATGATATATATATATATATATATATATATATATATATATATATATATATATATATATAAGAAACCATTCTTCTCCAGAAGAAGGAATCATATCTTTCTCTATCTCAAATTAAACCCTAATTCTCTCATCCAACAACTGACTTGACCGTCAGAGCCTCGTTCTGGGACCCCCTCCTGGACGATGACTAACGTTATTTCTTTCTTTACTATGATTCTTAGGCTTAACTCAGATGAAACCATCACAAATGAGGTTAAGATTGAAGCAGATATTACAACAATAACTAAATTAAAGAGTTCTACGTAGCCCAATATTTGGGTTGAGTGACCACTAGGTACTAAGCTTATATAAAGGTTGGCTAGAGTAACAACTTAAGAAACGGTGCTTCTTAGCAACTAGCCAACATAAAAACTAGGTATGATGTTTTCTATCAGCATGAGTCAATATAACAAATAGGCATAATATTATCCTTAAAAGTTGGGAAGAGTATCTACCGGCATAATATCATCCCAATGTTCTAAGCATAATCATATTACTAAGGTTATACAGTTAGAGATATTTATGACAACAATAATTTATAACCTGTATCCCCCAGAAAAGGTTTGAAAGTAGTAACGTGGGGCCGTGAACTCACCCTTGAAGTGTGAAACTGTTGATGCATGGCATAATTTGGGAGTCTGGAACTTGGGAGACGCTTAGGAATTAGTGACACGGATATCGAGAGAAAGGTGTATGTTTGAAGTGCGAGGAAGTGGAATGTTGAACCCTACTATTTATAGACTATTTGGAGTGCATGTCACGCAGTTGCGCGTGATCCACATGGCGCTGCCATGTGCCCTATTTTCCTCATGCCGTATCATATGTATCCTGACAAATTCATGTGTCAGGTGCACGTCGTGTACTGCGTGCGGGTACGCATGAACGTGAAAATCAAACTTCAAAAATTCATAACTCTCGCATACGAGCTTCGTTTTCAATGACTCTTATATATCCGTTTAGGTCTCGACGTACACTACAACTTTCCTTTTTTACTCATATGAATTTCATTTTATGTGTTTTTTGTCTGAAAAACCGTACTTTAAGTAGTACTACGTTTCTCCTTTTGGTGACTTTTGTCAAAAGTCAACCGTTCTCGTCGTAGCTTTTGACGTTGTAACTTTTCATGTGCAGTATATTTTTATTTATCAAAAAAATCATATCTTTTTCACACTAAGTCAGATTTTTACGAAGTTTATATTTTTGGAATCACGGCAACACGTATATTTTAAAAATATAAACCTTCTCTCAAGGTGACATGATCTTTCGCGCATTACTTTTTGAGCCTAAATGTTGATATAGTTAAAGACGAAATTGAATATATTTATGAGTAAATTGCAAAAGTGGTCCCTGTGGTATGCAAAATTTTGGGGTTTTAGTCCAAACCGCGAGTTTTTTGGAACCATAGTCCTTTTGGAGTGGTTTCTATGTGGTTTTGGTCCCTGGACTTAACTCCCGTTAAGTTGGAACTGTTAAGCCCCCCTCACGTGCCTCACACGTGAGGGTAATTTTGTCATTTCATATGTCAAGGACCATTTTTGCATAAACGTTTTTTTGGATTAATTCCTTTTAAATACCCCCATTTCCTGCGATCTTCTTCCCCAACGTCTCTTTTCTTCTACCCTTCTTCTTATTGAGCTCTACTACAACAAAAATGGTGCTATGTTTTTGTGGAAAAGTTGATGTGGTGAAAACGTCTTGGACCCCTTTGAATCCAGGAAGGAGATTTTTTGCATGCCCTATGAATGATTCCGTTTGTGGGTTTATTGGGTGGCTTGATCCCCCAATGTGTGCTAGGTCTAAAGCCATCATACCTGGTCTGCTAAGAAATTTGAATTCAGTGCAGGAACGGTGCAATGAGTTGGTTAAAGGTATGAACATGCTACAGGATCAATGCAATGGACTGATATGCAAGAACAACATTTTGGTGGCAAATGTCAGAGCATTGAAGGATGATAATTTGAAGCTGAAAATGTACATGTTTGGAAGTTGGTTTTTCTTTGTGATTGTATTCTTTTATATTTGGTTTGTGTAGGGGTATACTCTGAAGGGTGTTTTGGTCATTTTGTTGTAATTTTATGTGATCAAGTTTGTAGTGACTTATGATGATAATGATATATGTACAATTTTATGATGCAAGTGTAATGAATGTTTTACCAAAATGGTATGAATGTATAAGAATTAACATATGAATAGAAATGGTATGAATGTGTTACAAATATATATATATATATATATATATATAGAACCAATTGTACATAACCAAAATGCACATTTCATTAAGATTTGTAATATAACAACCAAAGTTTCTAAACATAACAACCAAAGATTCTAAACATTACCAAAAGGGACACATTACCATACCTAAGATAACAACCAAGTTTTCATAACAACCAACAAAAAATTTTCAACAAAATATTGTAAACATAACAACCAAGTTTTCATAACCAACCAAAATCACAGAAAACTCCATGCATGCATGACACATTACTTCTTGGATTGATTCCCACCTTGCCCTTTACAGGTCCTAGAGTTGTGTCCCTTGTTCTTGCATTTGCTACAAGTAACACTGATATGCTTCCTTGATAGCTTCTGCACTCCATCATTTGTTGGTTTTTGGGAACCTCCTTCTTGTGCAGCATTCACTCCATCACCTTGACTTGCCTTCTGCTTTTTGCTTAACCTTTCACCCTCACTTTGTCTTCTCTTTTTCTTAGGCCTTCCCACCTGAGTGCGATGTGGAGGAGGGATTAGCTTTGTGGGACATTCACTTTTGGGCCACATGGATCTACCCTTAATTGGCTCCACCTTAAAAGAATAAGCCTTTTTCCATGTCTCTAGAAAATACACCTTGTGAACCCATTTGTAAATGTCAAGCTCAGCCTCTGGGTCTTTACTCATCTCATTCAGAGTTGCAATTGCATGTCTGCATGGAATTCCAATTAATTCCCATTTTCTGCAAGTGCATGTTTTGTTCCTAACATCAACCACATGTTGATCCTGCAAAGCTCCTGTGACTTGATACTTGTCTCCCCATTCCACCTAGCAATGTATTGTGAAGCAACTGTTTTTCTTGCAGCTAGGATGTCTGTTGCTGTGGGTGTTAGTGGACCTTTAGCCTTTTTCATTTCCTTCATGACATTGCATATCCTCTTCATTAGATACTCCCTTATGAATTCTAAACATCCAATGACAGGTTTATCCTTCCTTTCTCTATCTTCCCATTAAACACTTCACACATGTTTGATATCAACACATCAGAAACTGCTCTTCCTGTGTGTAAATTACAATTAAAAAACATTTAATACAAGTCACATACAAGTAAAACAGTTCACTAAGTGAAAGACATAAGGACCAAATTGGAATATATAGATTTACCTGAAAAATGACTCCTTGCCCAATGTTTAGGAGGAATTTGCTTCAACCATTCACATGCCTCCTTATCATACTGACTAAACTCCTTCATCAAATGTTCAAACTCAGGAATGGTGGTAGCTGATGCACACCTCCATAAGTGGTCCCTGTACTCTGTTTGCCTCCATCTTTTCCTCATATTGTCATGAATATGTCTGATACAATATCTATGCTCAGCATTGGGAAAAATTTGCTCAACTGCAGTATGTAAACCCTGCAAAAATTAATTTTCAATCATTAGAATTAACTTACAACCACACTTTAAATGACCAAATGTATAAAAACTACTTCCAACTTTACCTTTTGCCTGTCACTTATGAAAGTAAAATTTGAGTTTCTTCCAAGGTCCAAGTCATCCCCAAGGTTATCTAAAAACCATTTCCAGCTTTCTGTGTTTTCAGACTCAACAATCCCATATGCTAATGGGTAAATTCCATTATTGGAATCAAGACCAACTGCTGAAAGGACTTGCCCAGGGAATGGTCCTTTCATGAAGGCACCATCAAAACCTAATAAGTCCCTAAGGCATGCCTTGAACCCTTTTTTCAGTGGACCCAAGCACACATAAATTCTTCTAAACTGCCTAGTTGGGGAATCAGGGTTAGGCTCAGAACATACATCTATTTTCACTGTGGTGTCTGGGTTGGTGGCTTGAAGTTCGAGAACATAGTCCCTCAACAGTTCATACTGCTTTGTGTAGTCACCAGTTACATGCTTTCTTGCCTTATCCTTTGCCCTGAACACCTTGTCCATACTAACACCCACTTGGTAGGTCTTTTGAAAGTGATCTTGTATAGCTCTCAAAGGTATATCTGGATTCGCCTCAACTTGATCAAAGATTTTCTTGCTGATTAAAGAAGCAGTACAAGCCCTGAGTTTCCTTGTTTGCAAACATGTGTGAGTTTGGTTTAAGGTCCTTATAAACCAGTCGGATTCAGGATTTGACCTAGATGCATGAATGTACCAACCACATGTTACTTTTTGTGTCTTTAATTCTTTACCCTTTCTTTTTGAAGTGGTAGCTTGACTACCCACTTGGCCTTTATTGGTGACAGGTACAACACCTCTACACTGTGCCCTAAGCCTTACATTGTCATTTTTTTTAAAGAAAAGATTCCTTCTTGATTCTAGTGCATGCAGATCAATTGCCTCCTTTAATTCTTTTTTACTATTAAATTTATCTCCAACTGAAAAAGATTGTTTATGTACTACCCCAAGACTGCACCTTTTTTCTTTTCTCAAATTCTTGATAAGAGCTCTTCTCTCTCTGTCTTGGTCGGATCCTTCATCCAAAGATTCAAATTCCTCATTGTTAATCACTTCCATATCTTCAGGTTCATGCCCATGAACAACATTTATACAAGAACCTTCCACATCACTTTCAACATTGAGAGTGAAGTCTCCCATGTCCACATCCACATCCTGTATATTGTTGTCAACATCCATTATGTCATCCATATGATCTTCATCTTCTATTTGTCTCTCATCTTCTTCATACTCTGGATCACTATTTTCAGATTCATCATACTCTTCAAAATTTGGATCACTTTCTTGAGATTCATCATCCTCTTCATACTCTTGATTACCCTCTTCAGATTCTCCATCCCCTTCATACTCTGCATTATCATCATCACTCCCAATCAAATTTTCCATAAGGTTATCAAATAACTCATTCAATTGTTCATCAGCATTATTAACAGGGGGGTGTTGTAGCCTTCTTCATCAAAAGTTGATGCCTCTTGAACAACATTTGCAGCCTCCCTAACACCATCCATCTCATCAATATGAACACAAGTTGCTGCCTCCTGAACATTAGTTGAACCATCCAGATCATCATTCTTTTCCTTTGAAATGTGAACAACCTCATCAATATAATCTAAATTAAGCCTTTTGCTACAAGAACTTTCACCTATTTTGGAATTCCCAACCCTACCCCTTCTATACTCTGGTGAGAAACTATCATTCTTACTCCCAAAAAGAATCAGAGACATGAACTCACCAATAGGCTCACCATTACCATGGTTCACATTTTTCATTGGAGAATCTGCATGAACTTGACCCTCAACTTCAGCCCCTTGATCATCATTTTCTGGTAATTCCTCAATGACAACTTTACCCTTTGCATTTGGTGACATGAAGTAAGTCAATAAATTTGTCTTTCCATGCTCTGTGTACACCTCAATCATCTTGTTATGTGCAATGTATTTAGAAAGGTTGATCACATCCTGATCATTCCCTAAAGCTCTAAGACCAAATTGAAAGTCACCATTGGGTATCCTAAAATGGTAGTATATAACTGGGGATTCATCAGCGAATTCAGAATTCCGTGGGTCTGGGTAACCTAGGTCAAGCATTATGGCATCAAGTTCATGCACAGAAAACTCATCAATGTCCAGATAATCAACATAACGCACTTCACCTCCAATGTACTTTATATCAGGTAATTTAGTAAATTTCCCACCGTGATGAAGCTTAATACTAAACCATGTGGGTGCACCAGCTAAAAATCAAAATTATACATATTAACAAAGTTAAAATTTTGCATTTTTTTGTTCTAAATCAATAAGAAAATGCAAAGTATAAAAGTTAAAGAAAACAGAGCAGCTTACCATATACAGTTGATACATCAACAACTTCGCGTTTTGGTCTGATATGCCACATTACGAACACCATTTTTCGTATTAAACGTATGCCCTTATATGTGTAGTGTCGATTATCTTGTTTGGATAAGCAACGAGGGTTTTTTGCAGGTTCAATGGAGCAGAAGCAAGGAGGGAGTTGGGGAGTTGACGAGTGTTGGGGAAAGTAAATGAGGGGTAAATGTCAATTAATTCAAAAAAACATTTATGCAAAAATGGTCCCTGACATATGAAATGACGAAATTACCCTCACGTGTGAGACACGTGAGGGGACTTAATAGTTCCAACTTAACGGGAGTTAAGTCAGGGACCAAAACCACATAGAAACCACTCCAAAAGGACTATGGTTCCAAAAAACTCGTGGTTTGGACTAAAACCCCAAAATTTTGCATACCACAGGGACCATTTTTGCAATTCTGTCTATATTTATTTATATATGTCGAATGGTTACATGATTGTCCTATTACATGTTGTTTGACAACGTTAGAATCTAACCGTGGTTGGTGTCGTATTTTCCAAGTTGTCACACATGGATATTGTAGCTTCAAATTAAACACTTTTTCCGAACACTTATATATAAATACAAGTTACATATTCTAACTTCCGGTTATTAGCTACCGATTACTAGTAACAACTAACAACTTACATCTAATTTTGCCTGAACACAACCCCGAAAATAACTACACTTTATATCAAATAATAATTGTTCATCTAAGTATCTCGTGTAAAAATTTTAAAAGCAAGTTCTATAAAACATATGTAAAATAACTAAATAACCCATTTTGCATCTAACCTAATTTTAGTAAATTTGATGAACTCATCTTCTTATAGATAAAAGCTTATAGTATTATTTCAAATGTCGGTTGGGGTATGACTGAATCTTGTTCTTGGGTTATGATGAGGCAAGCGATTAAATTCCTTGTAGGTATAGAGATAAGAGAACATGAAAAAGTCAAAAAAAGTTACCAATACCAGGAAGAACAAAAACTCGTTTGAAGATTGTATATTTTTTTGTTAGCCTCTCATTTGACTCATTAAATCCCTAAAAATGACCGACAATCACAACTATAGACAAAGCCAATGGAACTATTAAAAAACGATAAAAATCATGATACATTTACAACTGCTTTGAAATAAAAAATCAAAGAACTTGTGCTACTTTTCATCAGTCGGACGACATCATCAGGCAAGAGAATTTGACGAAGTCTATCTCATAGTCGCGATCCTTCTGAAAATCAATCCATTGTCGCTTGAGCAGAACTTCATAGAATTGAAACGTGAAATTCGAAATAAATGATTAAAAAGATTGAAAAAACTACTTGATAATTCTTCATGGCATCCAGAGCACTAAAATCTATACATCCAAGGTATTTAAGAACTTCATGGAACTGAAACATGATAAACGAAATGAAATGATAAAAAAGGTGAAAAAAAATAACCTACTTATCTGGTAATTTCTGATGGCGTCTAGGGCACTAAAACAACAAAATTCACCCTAACAGAAAAGGAAACACTCGATTTGCAGACTAAAAATAAAGAAAAAGTGTAAACATCCTGAAACGAATATAGGAAAAGCCGATTTGGTGTAGAAATTGTGAAATTAGAATGTGAATTTAAAGGTTGTGAGCTGGTGAAGAGTAGAGATAGTCGAAGAATTTCCTGATGAAATCTGAACGACTACATCTGGGATTTCACTGAAATCGACTACCGATTCCTTGGGGATGACTGCGGCGATAACTCCCTCCGACCAGCCTTCATTGTAGTAAGCGTTGGCCTCATCACACAAGCAGACAAAAAACCGTTAAATCGAGGATTCATTCTTTCAGAATCTCGACAATAACATCTAGGGTTTCTCCTAAATCGAGAACCGATAGTCGAGGATAACAAAATCACAGTTTTCTGACACCCTATAAACAATTTTTATTATAAGTTAACCTATAATAAATTATATATAATTTACTTTTTCAAAAAACAATGCAAATTAAACCAATAAAAAAACCTTAAAAATCAAATAGAGTGTCTAAATGAAAAAATAAGGTGTATTTGTAGCCAACCCTTTTTCGGAATAGATTAGAAGACAGATAATCATAGCTGATCAATAGATAGATAGGTTGTTCAAGTGAAAGAGGTAATCGAGACAGGTGGAGAACACGTGGAAAAAGAACCGGAAAAGAAGGACATGAGGAAGAGAGACATGAACGAAAGAGGATCAACGGAAAGAAAAATGAAGGTCAAAAGAATATCGGGGGCTAAAGTCTGATAAGGTGAAAGTTGTATATTGAAAGTAATAAACAGTAAACGGAAGGGACTAAAATTTACAAAACGTGAATATTATGTGATCAAAAGTCTAAAGCTAATAAAGTATATTGTTCTTCCTGCCCATGAGATTTAATATTTGTCATAATCTATATAAAGTTAATTTAATTTTGTTAGTTTAGTTAATATCTTTTCATATTTGTCAAAGCAAACACGAATTTTACTAGTTAAATGAAACACGATAGCTAGGTTATTTACCACCCCCCAAATCGCATCGTTCCATTAGATCATCCAAGTCGACTTGGGTTGCCGGCAGCGAACCAGAGGGCGGAGAAACAGAAGGAGGATAGAATAATGGCGAATCTTTTCTTGAAACAAGCAAAGCAATACTCGCAGACTCGACCAGGTTATCCACAACAACTCTTTGATTTCATCGTCTCCAAGACGCCCAAGCATGACCTCGTTTGGGACGTCGGCACCGGCAGCGGTCAGGCAGCCACCTCCGTAAGTCCTTCCTATCACTGATTTCTGTTATTGGATGAATGTTTGTTAACTAATTATTGATAATTTTGAAGTTCGATTGGAAATAGAAATCAACCCTAATTTTTTATGAACGAATGAATTTTATGACGATCGTAGCTTGCGAGCGTATACAAGAACGTAATCGGCACAGATACAAGCAACAGACAACTAGAATTTGCTCCAAAACTCCCAAATATTCGTTACGAATGTACATCTCCCAACCTTTCCATGTCTGAATTAGAAAAGAAGATCGGAACAGAGTCAAGTGTTGATTTAGTTACAGTCGCTCAAGCGCTCCACTGGTTCGACCACGACATTTTCTACGATCAAGTGAAATGGATACTCAAGAAACCTAACGGCGTTATCGCGGCATGGTGCTACACTATTCCAGAAATTGATGATGAATTCGACCCAATTTTCCGCAAGTTTTACTCAGAATCAAAACCTCACTGGGATTTGCTGCGAGGAATTGTTGATGACAAGTATAGGAGCATCGAATTTCCGTTTGAAGCGGTGGATGGATGCGATGACACAGGTCCGTTTGAGTTTCGAAGTAAGAAGATGATGAGTTTGGATGAATTCTGTACGTACATTAGGTCATGGTCGGCTTACCAAACGGCGAAAGAGAAGGGCGTTGAGTTACTGAATAATGGTGTGATGGAGGAATTCCGGCATGCTTGGAAAGAAGACGAGAATGGAGAAAAGAGCGTTACATATCCGGTTTATTTAAGGATCGGGAAAGTGGGTGATTCGGTTTAAATATTGGTCGTTTGAAATTTGAAGTAAATTGATTTTGGTATATTGAATCGTTATGACTGATAAATGAACTATTTAAGTGAAGATATATGTAACGCTTGAAACGAATACACGTAATTGTATGTTATGATTTATGAGTGAAATAAATTGGGAGACCCAAAATACAACAATATTAATTTCGGTTTGTTAGTAAAGACAAACATGTCTGCTCTAGCAAAAAATGTAACTGTGAAATTTATAATCTTAAAATCGTTTCAAAGAACAAATGGAAAAAGAACAAGGCATAATCATTTGAAAGGGTAATGGATTTTTGATTTTGTTTATATTTAATTATTATTTTTTTTTAATTATCTATTTACCATCAAACTATTAAAATTATTTATATCTTATCCAAATAGATTATAAAAAAAAATTTATTATCCTTTTAAGTCATTATCAGAATAACTATGTAAGTGTGCTTAAATTGGCTACATGACATTA